TTGTGTATGGTGAAGAGAAGAAAATAATTTCTCACTTGGAAGTTTTGCAGGAAGAAGCTGCCATTCCTCCCTGTTAAGAAAGTCATCGCTGAGTAACTGACTTGGGCAGCTAACGCTGGCTTTATGGGAACTGGAGGGATCTAGAATGTCCTGTCTTACAGCCCCGTGTGTCTGCTTTTTTATTTCGGTGCTCCAGGGGGTTGAGGAGAGAATTGTCTGGGTTTTCTACTTCTCCTCTGATATTGGAAGGCATAGTACTTGGTGTTTCTTGGAGTTCAACAGAGGCAGGTCAGGGAAGGGGACCAAGGAGGGCGACTCTGGTGCCCCTGGAGATCTTTAGGCAAATGGTACAGAGACCAGCCCACAGGTCAGGGATCTGGGAGGGAGTTGAGGGGAGAAGATTGTGGCTACAATCGCTTTAACCCTTTGATGGCATGAACAGGCATCAGAAAGATTTTTCAGAGGGTTCTGCTTGTCTGGGATATAACAAATCAGTAACTTTAATTTGTTTTCATCTGTAAAATGGTTGTATCATCAGAATATGCAGTGATAACACATAACCGCAGATTTGCAGTGGCTTAAGATATGAAAGGTGTATTTCTGGTTCCTTGCTAGGAGCTCAGTAGTGCTGGCAGAAAACTCTGTGTGGCATTGTCCTCAGCCAGCCTCCTAAGCTGAAGGGCTTCCACCGTCTGGAACATTGCCAGCAGCCATGGCCTGGGAAGGGAATGTAGCAAATGCTGAAGGAGCTGGTAAAGGCTTCCAGGTGTAAATGGTATCAATTCACTGAGATCTCATTGGCTGAAACAAGTCACATGGCCACATATCCGGCTTCATGGGAAAGGGGAAGTATAATCCCACCACGTGCAAGGGTGGAGGTGAACCAGAGTCTTGATGAGCACCCCTGCTGGGTACTGCAGGGGTGCTGGCACTTATGGGATGCACATCCCACATGGTGGCTCCGGTAGAGCCGCATATACATAAGAAAATACTGGAGAGAAATGAACACCATTTGAAAAAGGGTTTTATTCATGGATTATGGAGAAAGTGGACATCTATCATTTTTTAATGTGTATAAAGTACTTAAACTTGTAAGTTAAAAGTCAAAAAATTATAATCATAGAGGTAATGCTCCTTTTTCCTGCTTAGTTGTCATTGTTGTATTACCTTCTCAATTGAGGGTTTACTGGGCTACCTGACCCTGGGTGATTCTTCTGTGGTGGTATGATATGCAGCTTGACCTCGCCTGTGCCCCTGTGAAACAGAATGCCTGAAATCACACACCCTCCCAGGCTAAAAAAAATTGCTCTCACAGATCATGAAAACTGAGGGTGGGGAGAGGCATGGGTCAGTAACAATACTGGAGTGTGATAATAAAATCCGGCATGACTTGAACAAACCAGGCTTGCCCGTGCAGGAGCTTGCCAGGGCAGGAAGGCATGATCGTGCACAGAATGGCTGTGTCTGTCCTGGGTGCCGCTACTCCTCTTCTCCTTTTCCTGCACCAAAGTGTCCCTTGCTGGGGTTGGTCTTGTGCAGCTTTATGAGGACTATTTAACAAGGGTGTTTTGTTGGGTTCTGTTGGCTCCTGCAGGTCACGACTTGTTTTCTCCTGCCCTGTTGCTTTCATGGGAGTTGTGGTGCAGGCACCACAGCTTGGAAAAGCTCAAGGGATTTTCACTAAGCTTGGAGATGAGTGCCTCAATATATCTTGGTCTGGTTGCAATGAGTGTGGACAGAATGGGTAAAGTGTGTTTAATGTGACACCTCAAGGACACGTACAGATGGGGCTTGAGCAATGTCTTCTCCAGCCATTCATTCACCTTGAGGCTAAGAGGATAATTATTTTCCGGTGTTCTCTTGTCACTGTGTAAAGAATCCCCAGAGTACCTTTCCACCATCTCTCCTCCCCCCAACCCCCACTTTTGTCCTCCAGCACAGAATTCCACCCGGAAGCTGTGACTACAGTTTGCTTCAAAGTATGTGTCATAGTGACCCCCACTGTGGCACCCAGCACACCATCTTAAATGTTATAGGAAATCGAGACATATCTATTATTTGTAGAGGAAGAATTAAATTACAGAGGCTTTCCACTATTTTAGGAAACCATACTTATGGAAAAAAATATAGGAATGTAAACCAGATATCTTTGCCTTCAGCTAGGAATTTTTTTTTTCTCCAATATATTCTTGTTGCTACTCCCAAATGAACCCGTAAGTTCCAAATATACATTCTGAGTCTTTTGTCTCCTTTTAGCTACAAGTGCCATTCTGTCTGAATCATCAGGCTTCCTGTTGTCTCTTGTTCATACTCATACCCTCTAGGCAGACTCCCCAGTTAGAGGCAGGAGCGAAGATGCTTTAGTCCCAGATAACATGCTCTCATTATCTGGGCATTGGCCATCTGCTTTTCCAGCAACCCGGATCTTGCCTGTGAAGTAGCTCACAACAGTCACCAGGGATGCCCAGAGTTGTCTTGGTGGTTATCAGTTGATCGTGTGCCTTTTTCTTGTATGAATATTTGCACACCTTCATTTTTAAGTGAATTTGGCAGTTTCTGGTCTGCTTTGGTGATGGTAGTGGGCTGTTGACCTCTGAAGACTGTGGAAGAGGAAGAGTGAGTGAGGAATTGGTGGGGAGGGAGAGCTGTTAAGTTTGTGAGGGGAAGCCTTTCACAGTGATTTGTAGCCCTACAGAGCTGAATATGGAAAAGCAAAGAGGAGGAGCCAGCAAGATGGCAGGAAGAGTCGTGGTGGAAATGAGATCCAGGTCAAACTGGGCATGATTTTGTAATTATTTTAAGATCTAGAACTGGTGATCTTCATGAGAGTGCCAGCTACACTGACACATGTACATACCACATACACACACGTGCACACACGTGCATGTACACACACACAATTTGAAGGTGGGAATAAAGACTGATAACAAAAACTCACAGATACTTTGTGGGGATGGAGAAAAACAGTATTCTGCTGTGGCTATGTTCCAAAGAAATGTGAGCCTTTTTCACTTTTTGACAGATACTGTCTTTGACACCCTGTCATTTTGTGGACTTCTGTTGTCCCTTGTAAAATATGGTGGATCATGGATGAAAAGCATTATTTCATGCAAAGAGTACTTGGGGCCTGTTACAGTTTTGTTCTATTTAGGAAAGCTTCCCTATAAATGGGACTTAGACTCACCCTTCATTCTTGCCTCTCCTTCCACTTATTTCCTGAGCGTGTGACCTTGAGTGGACATTATTTGATGTTGCAGGTTGTCCCTAAGAACAGAAATTCACATCACTATTTCTGTGAAAGCAGCTGTCGCACCAAACATCTGTGATACAGCTTCCACAAACTCCTTGCCTTCAATCTTGCTCCTGGAGCTCTGAGCAGCCCCCAGGAAGTTACCACATTAATACTGATCAAGTCGTTCATAGGTGTGGTCCCTGCCGGGATATATACCACCATATTTATCAGACTTCTTTGCTGTGTATTTCTGTTTCAGTATTGAGTTGGGCTTGGTGTAGTGTTCTGCTTATCTTTGAAGGCTTTTGTCCCCGCCCAGTAGCTTCTGGGTTACACCATGGGAAACCACAGATTTAGGGAGGTAGGAGGACAGTGGGACGTGGTGGGTGAGAAGTCTTACCCTTTTCCGTCTGCCACTAGCCCTGAAGGTGCAAAGCTGGCAAGTACATATGGCTCTTGGCATTAGGAAAACCTTGCTGAAATGAAATTAAAATTCCTCTGCTGGACAGGAAATTAATCAGCGCTGAACGCAGTAGACAGGGACAGAAGCTAGATTCCTTATTCCATCATTGATGAGTGTTTTATTGTTATGCAAATGAGATCAAATGCTCGGTGACTGGTAGGGCGTTGAGGAGGGGTTAGAGAAGTGAAAGAGATGAACAGGTTCCTTAGGATTTAAACTCTAGCTTCAAAAATGTTTTTATAGCATCTGCTGCCTCTTACACCATCAGATGCTGAGCAAGGGAAGCGCCTCAGTTTCTTCTGTCATTGTTTCTGCAAAGCAGCCTCCTTGACAGTGTGATATATTGCGATTCATTCATTCCATAACGCTACTAGATCACCCACAGTGAAGCAAGCCACATGCCAGGTGTTAGGGCTAAATTACAGAATCACCTAGTCTTTGCTTTGCCAGAGTTCATAGTCTGGTAGAAAAGGATATTGGAAAAAATTAAGTCTGCAGATAACTGGCCAGATAGAAATAATTGTCACACCACTTAGGACTATTTGGTTGAAAAGCAGCTGAAATGTACCCTAGCAAACATCAGCTAAAAGGGTACATAGAAACTGAACAGCCATAAAGGAATGTGGGACGACAGCTCAGGGGTATAAGTCTCAGGAACTAAGGGACAGTCTTTTCAGGACCCTCAGTCAAGTGAATCAACTCCACGCAATCTTAAGTCTATTCACTAAACATTCCCAAAAGAAGGTATCTGATGGATCCAGCTCAGACCACTTGCCCACTTCTTGGAGGGGGGTGGAAAGCAGGAGACTTGGATAATGCCACAGAGATTGTGAGCAATGGCAGAGGGACTTTCCCTCTTTTTTTTTTTTTTTTTTTAATTTTTTTATTTATTTTTGGGACAGAGAGAGACAGAGCATGAACGGGGGAGGGGCAGAGAGAGAGGGAGACACAGAATCGGAAACAGGCTCCAGGCTCTGAGCCATCAGCCCAGAGCCCGACGCGGGGCTCGAACTCACGGACCGCGAGATCGTGACCTGGCTGAAGTCGGACGCTTAACCGACTGCACCACCCAGGCGCCCCGGGACTTTCCCTCTTAAAGACAGAATGAATGCTACAAAGGCAAAGGGTATGATAAAAGTTAGCTGGTGTTGTGGCTTCTGGGATTCCGGCCAATGAGCGGGCATATGTTTATTTGGAGTGTGCTCAATGTTGAGGCTGTGGTGGCTTGAAACCATAAAACTTGGAATCATTCACCCATAGGTGCGTCAACTCATTGGCCCTTCTGTCTTGTTCTCTTGATCCCAGTGTGAACAGTCCCACCTCATGAGAGAACATGAGGACGTCCAGGAGCGAACAACGCTTCGGTACGAGGAACGCATCACGGAACTCCACAGCATCATTGCTGAGCTCAATAAGAAGATAGACCGTTTGCAAGGCACCACCATCAGGTAGTGGGCTCCTAGTGCAGCTTTCTCTCTGCCCTTCTGGGCTCTGACGTGGCTCCTGGGGTTGAAATCATCCTAATGAAATATAATGATGTTTTATTTGCAACCAAGATTTTTGCTGTTGATAACTACTTTCTTTTTACATTGATAGTCGTGCACTTTCCCCTCCACTGTTCTGTTCTCATCTTGATCATCAGGATAGTCCTGGAAGGTAGCCAGGGTGGGAGTTATACTCCTCAGGTACTGATAAGAGTGTGGAGCCAGAAGTTGGTGAAATGCTTTATTAACCAGTTCTGGATGGAGCCCCTCTGTCTCCCTACCAACACCCCTACCACTGCTTGAATCTAGGTGGTCTTCTCTAGATGGGCAAACTATGTGCCTCCCTTGGGGATTTTGAGAGCTCTGTGAATGTGGCTTATAACTAAATAGTACATATGCTTCTAGGTAATCTAATATTTTGAGCTCACCTAGAGTTGATCTACCAACGTTGATGTGGCCTTATAAAAACTCCTAATGTGGGGGGCAAGATTTGATACATCATTTTACCTAGCAAAAAGGCGAGAGCTTAAAAATATTAAGTTGATGACTTTGAAGTTAAATTTAGCAGAGGGTAGAAGCAGAGTTAGAACCCGCAGTCTCCCTGCTTTTACTTAATAGTCTTTCCATGAAAGTGACTTTTGGTGGTCCTGCCTTCCTTATCAATCAGTTTAGCCCCAAAGTCTCCTGCACGCAGCACAATTTTAATTGGCGTGTGTCTGCCCTGCTTTCCAGAGGAGGGGTTTACTTTGAGTGACTTAGCCAAGGATGAGAGCTTTTTATCATGCTGCTTGTGCTCAGGGAACAGCCCTGAGGAAAGCAAACAGTTGGCATCTACCTTTCTGGAGAAAAGAGCTTTGTTCACTGACTGTACAAGCCACAATTATGGCCATTTAGAGGCAACTACTTTAAACTGTCCCTCTAGAAGTCCTAGTGGGTTAGAAGAAACTTTGGGTGCATTTTGTTCCAACTCTGAGAGTTACAGGAATGACAGGGCTACTTGGTGAGAGTACTGACGGCCTCTGATTTCTGGGCAAAATCATGGAAAACTTGACACTGAACTGGACCCACACGATAAATTCCATATTCCAATGTAGAACCTCAAATCTTTTAAATTGTATCCTGGTCTTCGGAGTGATTGTAGGTTAGAAACGCATGAGCAGAGAAGAATTTTCAGACCAAAGAAATGATTAGAGCCGACTTATAGGAGGCTGGCAGAGTACATTGGTAAATTTGTAATTTCCATTAAAACATGTTGCACTTTTAAACCCTTGAGAAGGTGAGGGAAAATGGGCTCAGTGAGTTGTGAAAAAAAGCATCACACATCACCTGGAAAACTCAATTTCAGGATGTTTAAATTGAATATAATGGCCAAATGGCTTCATGTTAAAATACAGTGAGCTTCTTGACCATAAACATTTATTGGTGCCTTTTATTTAAAGGGAGATTGCATCTGTGCAGATGTCACATTAAATTCTGCCAGTTTTCATTATGTAAATGAGCTATCCCCCGCCTTTCGGGGGTCTCCCTGCAGACTGTGGGCCAGTAAGACAAGGCTCTTCCTGTCCTCTGACTTCCATGGCTAAGGCTTGTCTCCTGCTCCCAGCACTGCCAGAAATGGGTTTGCCCTCATGTGCTGAGATGCTGTGCTAGACCAAGTTGGGCAGGGGTGGGAGTGGTAAGGAGGCACATACCTACAAGGAACTCCAGATGCCCTAGCATATCCAGGGTCTAGAGAATTGATTGTCATACTAGTCAGGTACAATACTAGTACCTTCCAGACTTTCTTGTCCCTTTAGTTGGGCCTGAGTTAGAAATTTATTGGAGGGACGCCTGGGTGGCTCAGTCGGTTAAGCATCCGACTTTGGCTCAGGTCATGATCTCACGGTTCGTGAGTTCGAGTCCCGTGTCAGGCTCTCTGCTCAGAGCCTGGAACCTGCTTTGGATTCTGTGTCTCCTCTGTCTCTGCCCCTCCCCCACTCATGCTCTGTCTCTCTCTGTCTCTCAAAAATAAATAAATGTTAAAAAAAATTTAAAAATGTATTGGAAATGCTGAAAAATAATATGGGAATAGTTTATGTAAGCTATGATATATCTGTACATAAGCTATCCATAAGCTAAATTGCTTAAGTAAGAAAAATGATAATCTCATAGTTTTAAACTTTTGTGTCAGGTCGCAGTCAGAACTGGGACCTTCTGTGACTATCCTACAAGACACTCTCCCATCTCCTATAGCCACAGGGCTAATGTAGCCAAGAATCAGACACTGCAGGTGGCTGAATTCCAGTGTAAGTTGAATTCACGGCCACATCAGATCTTTTAGGTAAAGATTAAGCATTGATAGGAAAAGATGAAATGGTGAGAATTTGAATGGAAACATTGGGGTAGATTTCAATGAATCACAATTCCTAGAGCCTACAAACTCCACTGAGTTTCCCCTTCTGCAGAAACACTTCTCCTCCTTGTCTGATAAAGCTTGGAGACTCTACAGCAATCTGATCCCAGGTAGAGGGTGCCAGGTGTATACACTCAGGTCCCCCAGGAATAAAGATTTATAATTATTTCACTAGGTAAAGAATTCTAACCAACTAAGATGCTGGCCAAACACAAAGGAAATAGGGATTTCCTAGTGGAAGAAGGAAGTTAGAAACATCAACTGTAGCCTCATGGTCAGTTGCAAAAAAGATGCAAGGCTGTGCATATTTTCTTGCTTGTTTATGCATGTATCCAATTTCCTTTTTTTACCTTCTTATTCTCTCCTATTACATCGGGTGAGCTGGTATTGGTGATGAAACTTGTCTGATGGTTAGGTTAGATGGTATCTAGGTGGATTTGCCCCTGAACTAGAAGAGAAGTGGTTACCTGACAATGGATACAATAACTGCTGGGACTTTGGGTCTCCCATTTTGGTGAGAAGGTGACTTCATTTACATTTGAATGAGAGATAGTTAGAGAAGGTTGGAGTCATTGCTGTTGCAATTGGAAATGTCAGTTTGGAAATTTCAACCATGTGTGTGGTTGTCAAGTAGCCACGGAATGTGGCCTGTGACATGTTATCTAGCACCTGGTACCATTCCCACTCCTCCTCTCTACTCTCCCGGGAATCAAAGAGGCTGGACACTTGGGACTACTTCCCAGATTGCCTTAATAGCTGTGATCTGGATACAGTTTGGGTTCTGTCTGCCAGTGAGGTGCCTTCACGTGGATTTGGAAAAGGAGGTGGGAGCCATTATTACTCAGGCCAAGATGGCAGCAGCTGACATATAAGCTTTGGTGGGCATGAGGTCCTGCACTGACTGGCCAGAGCCTGGGGCTGTGGGCAGGTGTAAAGGCAGAGGTAGTTACCTGACTTTTGGGGGGGTCCACAACTGTGATGGCAAATGTGACAGCTCCTGGTGGCCTCCACCCACACTTTTCTGGTTCTTCTAACTGTTATGCAAGCATGGAACTGCCTAAATTAAATGTCTTCTACTTGAAACATCCACTGTAGTTTATGTTCCTAACTGAACCCTGCCTAATGCATCCTAAATCCCATCTCCTAGGAATAAACACTGAACATTTTGTATATATGGCCTTCTAAAAAATTTTATTCATGAATATTTTAAATAAATTGGATCATAGCACACACAATGTTTTGTAATCTATGCTTTTTCACTTAACTGTATGTTATGAATGGCTGTTTTAAATGCTCATCTGACTTGGAGAGGTTATATAATGGGATGGGGAAAATGGAAAAATACATCAGTAGCTCACTTTGGAATGGAGGGGTGGGTGGGTTCTAAGCAAATTAAACATGAACTCTTGTTTCCTGAGGAGATCATTTTCTTTGCCCAAAAGCTACTCTCATAACATCACCCTTTCACTGCCGGCTCTCATGATCAGTCATGTTTTCCGCTTCCGTTTCCTGTTGCTTGTTAGCCCACGGCTGTCTGGCTTCTGAGTGCAACAGTTTGCTGAAGTTTCTTTTGCTAGGGACTGAATTATGTCTCCAAATTCATATGTTGAAGCCCTGCCCCCTCAATGTTATAGCATTTGGAGTTGGGGTCTTGGGGAGATAATTCTGTTTAGTTGAGGTCAGGAGGATGGGGACCATATGGTGCTTGTAGTGAGTGCCCTTATAAGAAGAGACACCAGAGGGCTTGCTCACAGGTACACTCTCTCCCTGCCGTGTAAGGACACAGTGACAAGGCAGCCATCTGTAAGCCAGGAAGAAAGCCCTTACCAGAAACTGACCCTGTGGGCACCTTGATTTTGTTTGGACTTCAAACCAAAGTCTAGAACTAAGAGAAAATAAGGTCCTATTGTTTAAGCTAGTCCACAGTATTTTATACGGTAGCCTAGGCTACGATACTTCTTTGAAAACTACCAGTGACTTCTTAACTGAAAACTCCAGTGACCTTTTCTTGTTTCTGGTCCTTTTCTGCAGCCTGTGCCCCTAAATCTTCTCTCCTTCCTGGTGTGTTCTTCTTGAACTCCTAGGACCTAGATCATTTCTTCTGTCCCTAAGATTGACCCTCAGCCTTGGCTCTTACCCTGGGTGCTCTCTCCCCACCTAAAAAGCTGACCCCGCCTATCTGTGTTACCTCCCTCCCACTTCACTCTTCTGCCTCTTTGTCTGCAAAATGCTCTTCATTTGCCAACAGAGATAATATCCAAAGTCTCCATCTACTCTAACATAATCTAGCCCCTAAAATCTCATGCCTGCTCCATGAGCCTGACCTTTCCATTTGCCCAATTATTCACCGAAAGATTCATAGATGAAACTGATCTTGCTTTGTGCTAGATGGAAAAATAGGGAGAGATGGAATTGCAGGAAGAATCAGGGCTCATCACTGATTTCCTGCTTTAGATCTTCTAAAAGAGCTGAAAGGGATACATTTCCTCCTTGTATCTAAAAAAATCTTTGTTCTTTAAAAGAATGATGGCATTTCAAGGCAAGTCTGCCTTTACTTATAAGGAAGAATGTAGTTCAGCAAAACCCCCACTGGGTCAGGTAGGCTGGGGTAGCTGGACATAGTTGACTGACAGGTGTCAAGGCAGGCAGATGTCCATCCACGTCTTATTCACAAATCAATCCAGTGACAAGGCATGAATGTGCATGCCAAAATAAAAGGGCATGGGGATTGCTAATGAAATAATATTTATATCAAATACTACTAATTCCATAGTACTTCAGCTTAAGGTCTGGAAAGCAGGATAAGAATTACACTTTCATTGACTGTTCCCTTTTCTGAAAAGGGATCATTTCATCCCTAGCCAATAATGAGAAGGAATCTTTAAAAATCATCGTCAACAACAACAAAATCTTTTCCATGGGTCACCATGTTTGATTGTTGTTTCACTGGTCCTAAATTTAGGAGTGACACTGTACTGCTCACTAGTTGTAGAATCTTGGGTAAACTGCTTAAGCCTCTTGAAGCTTCAACTGCCTTGTTCATAAAATAAAGGTATTGATCCCAGCTTTGATGAGCCCTAAGATCTCTGCCAGTCTGGGACTTTTCTGCCACTGCTTAGTTACACAGGTGGTGGGGACAATCTAATGCCTGCCTCCTTGGGAGCGTTTTTCTTTTGTTTTGTCGTTTAAGCTAGTAGCAAGCACTAATCATTGCTACTCTAAGAGCAATTTGGAAGCACTTCACAAATGCTTCTAAGTTAATGAAATGAAACAAGGTACATTTAGAATTCTGTGAGATGATTCTTGATGTTCCAAAGAGAGACACCTGAGAACTTTGTAATTCCATAATTGCGAAACTACCACAATAGTGTCTAATTATCAACAGTTATCAGTTTATCAAAGCTTCTGGGGTTTTTTTGTTTGTTTTTGGCTTTGGGGTTTTTTTTTTTTTTGGCTTAAAATGGTCACTTCTTGGATCTTTTCATGTTTTCTTCCTTTTCACCAGCGTCACTGGCAGCTGGTGTTCTTTGGGGAGGTTCTCTTCCTCCCCCCACCCCCCCCCCCCTGTCAAAATAAGTTATCGTTTGCCAAGAGCGACTGTATACATAACAGAAAGAAGCAAACAATGAAGTCACTTTGAGGCACTGATGCTGTGTTGTTAACTAGACCTTTACCAGCCAGGAGACTCCTGTCGCACCGAGCAGCCTTGAAAACACACCTCATATTCTTGCTTTTGTAAAACTGCTGGCACCGGTGGGATGTTTCTGATTTCTCGCTCTATTGCTCTGGGTGAACCGTGCTCCCGAATAACACAGTAGAGAGAAGACCTCAAGCATGAGTGTTCTACATATTCTGCAATCACAGATTGACTATCAGCTTACAAAAGGCCCTGAGCGAGGGGCGCCTGGGTGGCGCAGTCGGTTAAGCGCCCGACTTCAGCCAGGTCACGATCTCGCGGTCCGTGAGTTCGAGCCCCGCGTCAGGCTCT